CTATTCATAACAAGCCCCTTTCAACCGCACCTGAGTTTATGTTAATGAGGGGACTCACGGAAAGCCCACTCTGTGATGAGAAGGTTGGAACTTGCAGCCCCGCCCCTGCCCTGGGAGGTGGGGGGAGAGGGGCTGGAGATTGAGTCGATCGCAAATAGCTAATGATTTAATCAATCGCACCTATGTAATGAGCCTCCACAAAAACCCTGCCCGAAGGGGTTCAGAGAGCTTCTGGGTTGGTGCACGCATAGAAATTCTGGGAGGGTGGAGCACCTGGAGAGGGCATGTGAGTTCTGCACCCCTTCCTCCTACCTTGCCCTATGTACCCCTTCACTGGCAGGTGAATGAAAGTAAATGCTTCCTGAGTTTTGTGAGCCATTCTAGCAAACTAGTGAATCAGAGGAGGGGGTTGGGGTCAATTCCCAATGTATAGCCAGTAGATCAGAGGTACCAGCGACAATCCGGGACCTGTAGTTGGCGTGGGAAGCGGGGACAGTCTGCGGGACTGACCCCTTCACTTGCGGGGTCTGACACTGACTTTAGCTCGATGGTGTCAAAATTGAGGGAGATCACAGGACACGCACTTGGCGTCTGCAGAGAACCAGAGGGCTGTTTGGTGTGGAAAAATCACACATCTGTTGTCAGAGTGTTTTGGGGGGTATTGTGTGAGTAAAAACCTAGCACCCCACGTAGTCGGTCTCAGACAAACCATTTAATTCACAGGGCCTTGCCTCCCACTCTTTGTTTTCTGGAGCTTCCTTGGTTCTGCCTGTTTTCTCCTTTAGGTCTCTACCTCCTGCCAATTCTGTGAACTCCTTACAGCAACACTGTTTTCTGGTGCTTAGACCAAGAGCCCCAACTGAAAGGAGAGGGGGATGTATAATTCATCTGGGGAGACAGAATCCATCCCTGAGGGTTCAGCAGTATCCTAAAACAGCATGCCATCCAAAACACTCTCCCCTCCCCACATTTCCACATGCCCCTGAGAGGCGGGTGGGGCCCCCTCCAGCTGAGAATCACAGGCCCCCCCCGTTTTGAAAGTGGGGTTGTTGCAGTGTCCATCCTGAAGAGATAGAGCAAGGATGAGAAGAGAGTGAGGGGAAAGGGCTTGGAGGACTATCATGCTTCTTATAAACTTAAATTCAGGGCAGCTCAAGCCACAACTCACACCTGAATTTTTTTTCTTTCCTTTTCTAAAGCAACTAATTTTTTTTTTCCCCCAGGTGGGTGAGGGGTCAATAGGTCTGGGGCGTGGAGGCGGAGCTTTGACAAGGCGGCTTTTCCAGCCAGGTTTAATCATAAACCCACAATGCTTATCTTAAATGGAGAGCCGGGGTGGGTTGGGGGGGGGGTGACTCAGGCCTGACCTCCGGTGGTGGCCCATGCAGGCTGTGAATTTCTAGTGCAGGCGGGGGGACACAGCCCTGCGCCCTACAGGGCTGCCCAAAGGAGCCAGGGAGCTTCGAGGAGCTGCCAGAAAGTGGGTTTTCTCTCCTGTCAGAGGTTGCTATGGTGACCGAAGCAGGAGGGGACACCCGCTGGTCTGGCCCTACATAGCTCATCTTTATTCCATGTCTTGGTCTGAGCCGGTGTTGGGAGGGAGCTCCTGAGATGGGGGAATGACATCTTGCAGAGACTGGACCCTGGTGTGGGTGAACTGCGCTGGGACAGTGTGTGTGTGTTTGTGTGTGTGTGTGGTGGGTTACACTGTTGCATGTGTGCTCTTGGTGTGTGGTGGGGGACGATAGTAAGGGAAGGGGGACGGTACCAGGGTTGTGCATGTCGGTGGGATCTTCCTCAAATGCCCCCCGCCAAGATCTACAGACCTCAGGGGACAGCCCACCTGCAGGGGCTGCATGCTGCCCCCCTAGAAGAACCCTTCATTTCCCACTTCCTGGAAGTCATCTCTGCTGCCTGGCTGACTCCTCCTGGCAGCAAGTCACTGTGAGAATCCAGCCATTTCGTCTAAGAGTCCGAGGTGCCACTGCCTGCCCTCAAGCCTCGGCCCAGTCGGCTGACCTCTGCCTGATTGCAGGCACCCACTTCACGCATGTCTGCTCAGATGTCCCCTCCACACGGAGACCATCGTACCGAGATACCCTCCTTCATTTTACTCCGTAGCTGCTATCACTCACCATACAACTATGATGTTATATGTTATTTGTTTACTTGTTTATGGTGTGTTTCACCCCCTAGAATGTAAGCTCCGCGAGGGCAGTGATGTTCTCTTGCTTCTCTTGCTCATTCCTGTGACCCTAGTACTCAGAACACAGTAGGTGCTCAGTAACCTTGTTGAATGGATGAATGGCCTGTCTGGGACCTCTCTGCTCCTCACAAAGACTAAAGCTCTGCTTTCAAGCTCAGCTAAGGGGTTGCTTCCACTCAAAAGTCCTCAAGGATGCCTTGCCTACCAGGTCAGTCTTTGAATTCCCCAGGGACTGGCCTCCATCATGCTCACCGCACATTTGCCTGTTCGACACTCCTCAGGGAGTGTCCTGCCTCCCTGACCAGACGTCTAGCTCCTCAATAGGAAGAGCATTGCTTTCTCTTGCGTCCTGAACGCAAGGCTCTACAAATAGTAGATGCTCAATAAATGCTGAGCATGGTGATGCTGTGAATTATGTGTGAACACATTCCAGCTGGAGTAGTTCTACCTCCAAATCTGCCCAGCAGAAGACCTCCTGCAAGTTCATAGGTAAGACTTTCAACAGAATGAGTCTGAGCTGGGAAGTGGGGTGGCTTGGGGGGGCTGGCCTCACTTGATGTTTTATCTTTCCTCCATAACCTCATGTTTGAATATGACCAAATCTTGGAGCATACTTCAAACACCACCTCATTCTACAGCCTTCTATGTTCTTTCCAAATGGAACTGATTGCTTCTTCCCCTAACAAATTTTTTTTAGGGCTTTTCTGCACCAACTAGTCTAGGTATTGGCCATTTCTCTCAGCTTGGATCGCATTAGTTAGTTACATTTCTGATGTACCTGTTAGCTGGACAGATGTCTTCAGCATCCCTTCTGTGAGGCCTATCCCAGTGTCATTTCAGTGTTCAGAAGGGACTGTGAATCCGAGCTCCCTGCCCATCACCCCCACCCCCAGGGATGCTCACGTGACCCAGACTTAAACATTTGTTTTAGCCCTTACTCTGGCAAGAGTAACTGGTCCAATGGATGTGTGCACAGCCAGGCAAGTCCAGTCTGAATATTTTCATGGGATTTAAATATAGGCATCTGAAGAAACAAGGTGGCTTTTCAGCCTGGAATTCCAGGATGCATCTTTCTCAGCCTCATGGAGAAAACTCATTTACATTGAGAAGGAATAAGCCTTTAGGAAGGAGAACCAAAAGAGAGGCAGAGATAGAGACAGTCAACATCTTCAGAGCCATTGGATCCAACAGTGCCCAAAGACAGAAACTCCCCACTTCTATGCACTAATACATTCTCTCCTTTGCTTGGGCTAATTTAAGCTGGACTTCTGTCCCCTGTCATCAAGAGGGGCCCAAGCCACCTCTCTGTACTAACTGTGGGATCTGTCTAGGAACAGTCTGATTCCAATCCTTCCCCATACTTCTTATAGCTACTTGTTTGCTATCACCAGTTCAATTTTAACACATATTTTCGGTATAAATAAAGGAATATATAAATGGCCATTTCCTCTCTGACTGAGTACATCACCAGTTCAATTTCAACATACATTTTCGGTAAAAATAAAAGAAATATATAAATGACCGTTTCCTCTCTGACTGAATACATCACCAGTTCAATTTTAACACATATTTTTGGTAAAAATAAAAGAAATATATAAATGGCCATTTCCTCTCTGACTGAATACAGGAATAAAAATACAAAATCCTAGAATCAAGAGGAAGAGGGGAAGAGAAACATTTTCTAGTGGCTACAATGGGCCAAGCACTGTGCAAACATCTAGTTGAACCCTTGAACTGGCCCTGAGATAGGAATAGTATTCTCCCTGCCTGACAGGTCATATACAGGTGAGTGAAGAAACCACCATTTGAGCCCAAGTTCTCCCAACTCCTCCATTGTGGCCACGCCCCCAAATGGCTTCATTTGTAGAAATTAACAGGATACGCGCTTTAGAGTGTTTCAGTGTTTTAAAGCCCAGGTTCTTAGGAATCCCAGGGGCAAATAATGCCATTTAAATAGTCTTATGGCAATGCTTCATTTTCCTATAAAACTGATCTGGGCAGTCGAGGAGGATGAGACCCAAGCAGCTAGACTGAAGTGTCCCCCCCGCCCCGCCCAGTTGACACTGGGAAGCCAAACTGCTGCAGCATGAGGGTCTCTCTCCTGGGCTAGAGCCTGCCTTCCAGGGCAGGGCCTGGCAAGTAAGGGAACCCAAGCCTCAGGACAGTTCTGCCGTTCATGACTGCGATACCCTCCTGGACAAGTCACATGACTTCCTGGAATGTGAGTGACGGGCCTGGCATGGGAGACAGAGCTCATTTCTTTTGACCATGGTGTTGCTGTTGGGGGCCTGGTGGCTCCCAGGCCGGTCCCAGGGGCAGCTGGGATGCCCAGACCTGAGGCTGCCGGCGTGGGAGGATGAGCTGATGGGGGTGAGGCCCAGTCTGGGATCCCGGGAGGTGCAGGGAGGCTCACTGGGCTGGGTTCCTCACTCCCCTGGACTTTCCTGCTCCAGGCACCCCCAGGCAGCCTCCCAGCCAGGGTCCAAGCCCTGCTGCTGGTAGATGGGAATGAGACAGTCATTTTCGATAGACCCAGCCCAGAGTGGGCGACAAAAGAGCCCCTGGCCTGAGAGTCAGCTCCAGGGACCCTGTCCCATCCCGAGCGACCGAGGCGACTCACTTCCCCTCTCAGGGCTTCTGCTTCTCCCCTGCAAAATGTGCAATGTGGGTGCAGTGGTCTCTGCACTTCCTTCCACCTTGACATGCGCAGAGTCTAGACCACAGCAGCTGGTGGGTGGTCACAATGTCCCCGAGCTGCACCCATGAGAGTAGGGGGGCAGAGGAACCCACTTACCCACACTCCCCCCGGGGGTGTCTCCCGGTGAAGCTCGGTTTCCAGCGTCCAGTGCTAATGGTTGTTACCTTCACTTATCATTCAGAGCTTCTGTTTCCATACCTGGAATAGCAAGAACAATCACAATGATTTTGAAATCACCCTGCACGCAAAAGTTCACGAGTTTTTCCCCACACACTATGGTCTGGGCTGGAGAGGCCTTCCTGAGATTTCAACCACAGACAAACCGCAAACCAAAGACGTCTCGAGACTCGCCTGGGGTCACACAACTTCATTAGTGGGGTTGTCTGGGCTCAGATTCCTCTTCTGACTCCAAGCTGAGCTTTTACTGTCTAGAATACCTGGAAACCTTGCTTCATCCCACTGGGATATTGTGAGGCAAGATTCTATTAAAAACCCTTGTTCAGACCTTTGCACATTCAAAGTGCTCGGCCCGTGCTGAATAATTGATGGGCTCTGCTCCGGGCTGCTCAGAGCAGATGCACAGGCCTCCTGCCACACACAGGGCTGGGAACGTGGAAACCTTTCTATCATTTTGTCCAGTGAAAGAAGTTGCCCAGAAAATCACCAAGAAAGAGTTGTGCTCCCTGTTGCTGCCGGGAAAGGCCCCGGCTCCTCGGCTCCTTGGACCTGCAGATCTAATTTACTGCCTCACTGAAAGGAGAGGAGAAAGCGCAGGGCTGCTGCAGGGAGGGGTCTGCTGGGCCGCCCAGGGTCGAGGCCACAGTGTCCCCTCCAAGGCTGCGAGGCCCTGGGAAAGGGCTGCTCTGCTCTGACAGGCAGGGAAAAAGGTGCCTGAGAATCCTCAAGTCCCATGAGGGGGAGGAGTGCGGGAAGGGGGAAGGGGCCATGGGAAATGCAGAGTCTGAAGCAGGGGCCCTCCTCCAGGGAGAGCCCGAGGAGGCAGAGACGCCTGGGGGGGGGCTGAGGCAGCCCGTTGCCGCCCCAGCCCTCCGCTGCATGTGACCACAGCACTTTTCTGGCCAAAGGCCATGGCACTGGGGATTAGGGGGTAGAAAGCGGACACAGAGTGGCCTTTAACGCAATTTGCAGACATCAAAGTAGAATGCAGTTCAGGCAGGTGTTCTGGCTATAAAAGCAGGGAACATTTCACAGCTGACTGAAACTCAGGGTGCCACTTCACAGCTAGGGGCGCTGGGGTGTACATCGTCCCCCTGTGGGGTTCGGCCCACCAAAGCGTCTCCCGACGAGGATGTGTCTCAGCCCCTACACAAGGCAGATTTAGAACTATCCAAATCCACAGGATAATTGGCTTCACCTTCAAATAAGCAGAATCAACAAAGTCCAGCTCAAATGGGAATTTGTTTTGATGATGGGCTTTCTATTTTGCTCTGCATTACAAGTTCCAAAGCCTAATGGTTTAGCAAGGACTTCCTAAGAAGTTTCATGGTGTGCTCTGTGCTTAGGCAAGTCACTTCACCTTCATACTCTGTCTGGGTGTGCTGAGCTCTCCAGGGATTGAAGGGCCCTTAGAGTTTCCCTGTGTCTGGGCAGGGCCTGTCCGTCCTCAGGAGCTGGGCATGGAGGGCGGGGGTGGTTCTAGCCTGAACTCAGCCTGCCTAGCAATGTCCAGCGATGCCTGCAGCTAACCCAAGGGGCAGGACTGTGCCCACACTGGGGTTTGGAGGGAACAGTTGGCTCAGGCAGAAGAGAAAGTGGGATGCGTGACCTTTCTCCCCACTCATGTCAACCTGAGCTGCGCGTAGCTGAGGGTAGGAATCGGTAGCGGGAGAAAGAGATAGAGCAGGTTAGGGATGGGGCAGGGCTGAGTGTTGGGGGACGGGGGTTGACAGCCCAGTCCCACCACTTACTAATTCTACCACCTTGGGTAATTGATTTAATCCTCTAGGCCTCAAGTTCCTCATCCATGAAATGGGGTTCATACTACCTCAAAGCTTTGGAAGGTCCCAATGAGACAGAGTGTACGTGAATTCTTAGTCACGCCTCTAGTAGGACTGTCCCCTCCCGTCCATGACAACACTTGGCTGCGCCTCTCCTTGGCCTATCAAAGGGAGGGCGGAACGGCTGCCAAACCATTCAAGTTAGCTCATGTACATCTGTGTGCTCCAGAATGCTCGGAATATCACTTTCCTGTCAGCTCAGTACTCTGGGTTCCTCCAATTGTCTTTTCTTTTCTTTTTTTTTTCCAATTGTCTTTTCTAACCTGCAACCCTGATCAGACTCCACACTCCTTGAGGGCAAGACCATTGTCTTATCTGTGATACAATGTCTATGACTGATCTTAAAACCCTTCTGTGTGGTTTCATTAGGCTAGCCGCAATAAGGGTGCATTCAAATCGGGACTCCCACTCCTGGCCAGCAGCCTCAGGCAGAGGGTCTGCGCTCCAGAGGGGGCTACGGCAGGTGCTTTGGCTGTCTTTCTCTCTGCTTGACACCAGGCATTTGATAATTAACAGAGTAAGTGTTAGAAATGTATTCTCCTTGGTGAAAACCGAGGTATTCAAGATATGTGGGTTGGCCAGAATGACTTGAGACATTCTTGACCTGGAAAGGCAGGGTGAAAGAATCTAGTGAGCCCTCAGGGCAGGGGTGGTCAGGACACCCAGAGAGACAGATGGCTGCGACCTCATTGAGTCCACAGAACAAGCTGTATAAATTCTGCTGGGCCTGCCTGCAAATAGTTGTTCAAAAAATGTCTACATAGGGGCACCTGGGTGGCTCAGTCGGTTAAGCCTCTGCCTTCGGCTCAGGTCGTGATCCCAGGGTCCTGGGATGAAGCCCCATGTCAGGCTCTGAGCTCAGTGGGGAGCCTGCTTCTCCCTCTCCCTCTGCCTCTCCCCCTGCTTGTGCTCTCTCTCTCTCAAATGAATAAATAAATCTTTAAAAAAAAAATGTCTACATATGTGGCAGAATGTAGTCTGAGGCTTGCTTTCATCCAACCTGCTAACGAGGTTCACCTTCACCTTCCTCAAAGTTTGCAGTGGTTGCCGTCCAGCAAATAAACAAACAACAACCAGCCAAACCCTAGAGTAATGACCAAACGGGCTTAACTCGGTGTCCCCAGGGCACAGCATATGTCAATGCTCACAGGACTGAGTTGGTGTCACTTTTCACTTTAGGGGGGTGAGGGGAGGGGGACAGTCAGGGCTCCGAGAGTCCTCCCAGGCAAGGATCCTGACCCAGGACGCATCACCCTGAGAGTTCCCTGGCCTCTGGGCCCCAAGTGCCCGGCTCACGCTCAGAGGCTCTGTTGGCTTCCTGGAATGAGGAAATGCCGCTCGGCCTTCAGTAAGCCCCGAAACTATGGCCACAGTGGAGGCCACTGTCTGGGCCCATTATGTACCCGGAAAACCAGCTCTGAGCTGGGCCTTTCCTTCGAGGTCTCAAGGGACAAGCCCTATGAGGAAGTCTTTTGGGACCCATTACTAGCTCCCACAATTAGATCAGATTCTGGGTGTGTTTATGGGGGGTATTTTCTGGCCATATTGGAGAGATTGTCTTGAAGAAATGGCGCTCAGTCTGTACGCCTGATAAGCTGAACCCTGGCCCCTTCCTGGGGCTCTGCAAAGGCTGCTGGGCAGGGGTCCTGGGTTGAGGAGGCCCCTGATGCTGGCGTGCTCGCTACTCCTCTACCCCTTGAGATGAGAGCCCTTCCTCTAGGAGCGGTGCCCACAGGGAGGTGGGGGCTGCCCTATGTGCTCCCTTCTCTAAGGGCTTTTCCTGGGTGGGCGCTGTTGCAGGATCGGAGAGCATTCAGGGGGAAAGCAGATGGTGTGGGGAGTGTGAGCCTCTAACCTCTCCTCTTGCCCACCTTCTTTCTCCTTTTCTTTCCTTTCTCTCCCACACTTCTCCAGAGAGAAACGGGGCTGGGCGGTAGGGAGGCTCTGGGCTTTCACACACCAGGGCAACTGTGCTGACCATGGAGACGCTGACATTTGCAGCCTTCCAAACTCATGTTGGCAACTCGACCCTCTAGGGCAGCCCAAACTCTGCAGGCTGATTGCCAAGGTCCTGGCTAAACCCCTTTCCCACCTCCTGGCTCATCCTCCCTGCTCCCACCCTCTCTGTAGCCCCTCCCTGTGCCTTCGAGGTGGGCCTGAGCACTGCTTCAGAATTTGCCCTTTCCGTCCTTTCTCCTCACCCCAATCCACATCCCAGGGTAATTTGCATATTGAGAGCCATCCAGGCTAATCCTAGGAGATTTCCAATTAGTAAGAACTCCCTCAACCCTATTCTATAAACCAGGGAGCAAACCGTTCAGCTTATCATTCATCTTCCAGCTTTGCAAGTAGCTCAACATCCCTGTTAAGCAAAGAGCCAGTTAGAGCATAGCTGCTAGAGGGGTCTGAAAATTCCAGATGCTCGTGTGGGGGCACTGGAGTTTTCCACTAGCCAAATTTACCTAGAGAAAACCACCCAAGTGTGTGGGGAGCCTAACGAGCAGTTTCTTCCCCCTTGGCCTGGGGCTCTGTGGGTCTCTCTCAGCAGACAGTTAGACATTGCCTTAATTTACTTCCCTGCCAGAGTCCTTTTTTGGAGGGAGGCCAAGCTGGTAGATACGGAAACGGGACTATTCATCTTGTGGAAATCCATGCGGGTATCTGGGAGGACAAGACAGGAACAAGTGCGTGAAAAGTTGGGGGACTTCAGGTGGGCAGGGAGGAGAAGGGGGTGAGGGAGAACCCCTCTCTCCACTTCAGGCAAGCGCCGATGAAGTGAGCCAGGCCGGACTGCAGAGCATTTCAGGCTCCTGATGCAAGAAATGAATTTCTGGGCTCCACAGGGTCCCTCAGGATGGTAAGGGACGGTCCCCAGACACAGGATGAGCCCTGCCACACAGCTCTCAGTTTCTCCAGGTGCAAATGGTTTCTTCCCCCTCTCTGGCCTCTCCCCTCTGATCTCCTAAAGCAGCCTTCATTTGAGAGCACTGTCTTAGGAGTCAGGCACGTGAGGCTGATTCTCCTGGCTCTTTTCACTAGCCACCTGCGCCGAACAGAGTTACTGAGTCTCTTGGAGTCCCATCGGCAAAATGGGGATACAGTGTCCCCTCCGAGGGCCATGGTGAGAATAAAATGACCAGTGGATGCGAAGGGTTCTCAAGCAGTGCCTGCTTGGTAAATGTACTCAGAAAAGAGCTGTCATCTCTATCCACTCTAAGCACAGCTCAGGGCTGCTTTGCCAAACCTCTTAAAAACATGCTAGCAGAAACGAGCGGACGCGGTTGGGCTAGAGGCGCCATGGTCGCCTTGCGTCTTCCAGGACTTTGCCCAGCACTCTCCCCTCTCCATCCCTTGCCTGGCTGGCGGCAGGACCATCTCTGGGGCATCGGAAGGGAAGCTGCTTTGGGACCCTGGCTCCCTTGGGCACTTAGGGGATTCCCCTGTTGATGGGGACCTGGGCTCATCCACCTGGGATTCACCAGGAATGGCTGGGAGTGGATGGCAACTTAATCTGGGAGAACATGCCTGTGGGTTTAAGAGGAGATTGTGGCCCACCAACCTAGAATCAGCCTCTCTTCCAGACCTTCTCAGGAGGAACCACCCGCCACAGAGAATGAAAACCAGATACAGACAATAAGGGATTATTTTAAAAGCAGAACATCCAACCTGACTTGGTGGAGGGAGACACCTGTGCTCTAGCCAAGGACCATAGACCTTCCTGCCTTCTCTTAGTGACACCTCCCCCCTCCCCCGGGGGCCAGGGGCAGTCTCAAGGCTGACCTATTCCTTCCCCTGGGGCCCTTTGGGCTGTGCAGTTCCCTCTGATCACACTGGCCTCAGCCCTTCAGAACACCCAGGGCCCAAGTGTCCTGGGTCACTTCTTCTGAGTTAGGGATTGCTTCCTTCGGGCAGGAACTTGATGTCACCGTGCCTGAAGTAGGTTGGAGGGGACAGGGTGGCCTTAGAGGTGACAAGCAGTCTGAGAGTAGACCTGGAGAGACTGAGTGGGGCTCCTCCCTCTGAGACGGTGTACCCCAAATCTCCAGCCACATCTTAGCCGTGGAACGGGCCAGCAAGGAGGTGGGAGATGGAGTCCAGCAGGCTGTCCCACTCCCCATGAGACAAGTGAGCCCCCCCAGGGAAGGTGAGGCAGGACCCTGCTCTCCTGCGGGCAGGTTGCGGGGTGTCCACTCCAGGGTGGGATCGGTGCTCTTCAGCCCCGACCAGGCTGTTCTCTGCCAGTGCCTGCTCTGGGGACCTGCGGCCCCGAGCCCCCTCCCCTGCGGGTGCCTCGGGCCACAGCCGCACCACCCCCAGCGGGGCGCCCAGCCCCGACCCCGACCCCAGTCCTGGGAACGTCCCCTCCCCTGTAGCGAACCTACCTTCCGAGGCGCGCAAAGGCCCTTTCCAAGGGTGTCACCGAGCTCCCCGGCTCCTTCTCCGGACGCGGGCTCCCGGCGCCCGCCGCAGCCTCTGGCCCCGACCTCGGGGGCTGAGCCGGCTTCTGCCTCCCTTTCTCTCTGCTCCCGTGAATTCTCGGCACTATTCTTTTTTTAAGGGACTTTTTTTTTTTTTTTTTTTTTTTGCGTTGCGTTGCGTTGCGTCAGGGCGGTTGCCTGGCGACGGCGGAGCTATTCGCCGAGAGCGATTTCAGTCCGATCCCCGCCAGCGTCTCATTCAAGCCTCTCCGCCCGCTGCTCCGGGGACCCGGGACCCGCGGGGTCCAGCAGACGCGCAGCCGGGTCCTAAAGCCCCGCTAGTTGCTCCTTCCCGCCAGGACCTGAACCGGAGCCCCCGCCCAGCCGCAAGGAGAAGCAAACCACACGCGTTTGCCAAACCCTAGACGAAGCCAAACTTATATATATATATATATATATATATTTTTTTTTTTATTAAACCTGAAACCAAGGCAGTCTTTCCCTCAACCATGGCAACGTGGCTTTGCCGCTGTCAGCAGTTTGCCCGCGTGGAGGGGGCAAAAGAACGACCTTGCAGCTCGCGTGAGCAAGCCCAGAGCCTACACCCCATCCACAGGCGGCTTGAGTTCAAACTCCCGGCAGCACGTCCCATTGCTGAGTGCCTAATATGTGCCGCACCATCCCAGCGACTCTGCAGGGCAGGCGTGGGCATTTCCAGCTTACGGATGAGGAAACTGAGGCTCAGAGCGGCTCCGTAGAAACCAGAGGTTAAGTAGAAACAGACGTTCTTCCAGATCGGTCTCCCAGACCAGCTGGGAGTAGTCCAGAGGGGCCTGCCCCAGAGCACGTGTTTTCCCCACAAACCACGGGATGCCTTACGGCATGCACTTCTCTGGGCTGTGTCAGCCACTAGAGATAATTACATTCTAAGGTCCAGGCCCTGCTGCACCAGAGCCTACAGCTCCAGGCACCTACAACGCATACGGGACCCAGCCAGGGCTGCCCCATCCTGGCCTTTAGGGTCAGTCCTGCCTGGAGACCCAGGGCTCTGGTCCAGAGCTCCTGGAACCTCTGACCCCAGGGCTGATTACTGGCAGTTGGCTTCATTCTTAGGGCGGCTTGGGACATGGCCAAGTTCCTTTCTTAAGACACTTGAGGGGCGCCTGGGTGGCTCAGTCGGTTAAGCGACTGCCTTCGGCTCAGGTCATGATCCTGGAGTCCCGGGA